TTGTGCCAGATCCACCGCCACCTCGACGTCACAACCCCCACAAAATAAAAATCCCCAAATTTGAAATTTGGCACCACCACCACCATTTGTATCAACAATAACCACCACCGCCATCACTGCCGCATCAACCACAATACCACTAGACACAACCACCACAATAAATTATTAATTGTGACCAATAAATTAATAAATTGTGACCTAAATAAGTATTGTGACTTATAAAATTTGTGATTTGTGACCGACAAAAAAATTGTGACTTTTAAATTTTTAAGTTGTGACCGATGAAAAAATTGTGACTTATGAATTTTTTGAATTGTGACCTAAAAAATTTCGAATTGTGATCAAATTGTATAGATTTGTGACCGTTATATATTTATTAATAAAACGTATAATTAATTAAGTAATTCATAAATAAATTTAAATAAAAACTTGATTTCTGAAATTTAAAACATCTAACCTTAATTTTGAAATGATAATAAATAAAAACCTGATTTATGTAGACTTCCCTTCATTCACATTAAGCCAAAAAGTACCAATTGAGCTGAAAACGCCTGCTTTTGCTAGACAAAACAGCTTGCAAAGTTGAATAGAAACCCTTCAAATACGCCACCATCATTGTCTTGCCTCCATCAAAAGTTTATAGCTAACACAATGGAAAAAAGGCTAGTTGTCATTCCTTGTGATGCCGGCGATTGCTTGGCCTTAGTCGGAGTTAGAGGCGACGCAATGGCTACCTCAATATTTTGCTTCTAAAGTTTTCATGTAGCTAATAAAAGCTTTGATTGAGAATGGCTTCTCCAAGAAACTCAATATTTGGACAGAAATCTCAATGCCGATTTGTGAAGCCATGGTTGGAAATAATTGTTCTTCAGGTGGTTCCAGTAACTTGATCCATTTACATCTACCTCGGTCCAGTTAATTTTTGTCAAATGCTCCACTATCGAAAAATAATTGCCTCCATCCTTCTTTCAATCTGGTGGCAAATTGTTTTAGGTCGCTACCACCCATTTTTAGTCGCAATTCCTTTTCCTTTTGTTTTTATGTCGAAAACTTTCACTCTTTCCAGTGTCTTTTTGTTTCTTCTTTTTGGTAGCTGTCCTCAGTTTTTGGTAGAGAAACTCTTCGAAAAAACTACATTTTTGGATGATTTTTTGGTACGTGGTAAAACATGGTTAACGTACCGTTTCGCACATACACCGCCAATATGTGGACTCCAAAAAATAGACCAACAAAATCCCTATCACGTCCCCTCCCCTTGGACATGACCCCGAAAAAGGAATCGAAAAAAAAAAGAGAATGCCAGAGAGGGAAGAGGAAATTTGGATAAGATTATCTGTCCCTTAATTATGAAATGAGTTATATATATATATAGGAAGTGAAATGGGTACGTGGGCTTGATCCAAGCTAAGGTCCAAAAATATCCGATTTGATAGGTCCACTGTAATTAATGCCACATAATACATGTGTATAACATTTAACATAACAAAACGGTAAAGAATTGGTATTATTACAAATCAGGTATATAACTTTTACAAATTTAAGTTTACTGCTGCAATTAAAGTAATCGTAGTAGTAGTATGTTACTTTTGAAAAAAATAAAATAAAATAATGAGGCATGACACTTCTCAATAAGAAAGTTTTAAACTGGTCTAATTATTGTCTAAAGTTACAAAAATTTCGTTTTTTCAACTTCTTGTTTTAATATTGTAAATTTATAAATGAATTTAAACTTAGCTTAGATAAGTTCTCATCTAACGCAACATGAACAAATAGTGTGATCTTTTAATAAAAAATTGATACAACATATCACGTTTCAACGAGGAATTTGACAAGAACATATTGAAGGATAAAATAATAAATCGCATTTTTCATCTCGCTTTGTGCCTGATTATTGACACAACGTGATAGTTTTAAATTATAAATAGACATGACCCTGTAAAATTGAGAGTCGTGGTTATTTTGAAGTGTGCAACATGTCACTTTAAGTATAAAATAATATAATTAATGAAATTTAATTTAAAAAGTGACATGTTGTGTGACTTTTTATTCACGTTTTCGACTAACAAGAATTTGAACAACCAACATACCTACAAAGGTGAGAATCATACCACAACTTATTTACAAGAATTCTCCACTTATATGATAAATCATATATGTACATTTTTTCCATCGTTGTGTAGAATTAATAAACTATCTATAGAATTTTGTTTACTTATGATTGAGTAATTTTGCGAGATTAAATTAGAAATTGTCGTTTTTAATTCTCGAAAAGTGTTGATCTACATCTACAAAATAACTAGAGTTTTGTAGTACTTTATAGAATAAAAAATCAATCCAAGTTGATTGAAAAATAAGATTCTTTTTTTGTGTACACAAAGAAGCGATATCCCTTCTCATAAATAATCTTTAGGGTGCTTGATTTTACACCTATTCACACACCCTTAGCCTCAAATTCAACACTTCTCTTGCAATAAAAACGATTTTTTTTCAATAGATTCTTCTAAGGGAATAAATAAAGTGAAGATTATTCAATGCTCATCTCTGAAGGATTCTTTGATGGCCCCTAGAATGGGTCACTTTCTTGTTCCTCATCTTTTGTTGTGTCAATTTGTTTTTGCATGCTGAGAAGAAAGAATCAGAATATTCAACAGTTTCAACTTTTGGGTTTGAAATGGTGACCTCCAAATTTCTTATCTCCCCATTTTTTTCAAAAGATAAGATAAGATATTGTGTTTTTTATTTTTTATTTTTTTGTTTCTGTGCAAACAGAAGAAGGTTCGGAATGAACCAAAGATAATTCATCGCAAGTATGCTAGAGAAGGATCTACATAAATCAAAAGTCGAATGACGTAATATCATTGTCACGAAGATATTATCGAGAGAAATATTCAGGACTATTAGTAAAAATGAACAAAAAATTGAAAGAATAAACATGATACTAGAATTCAAAAGCCCCGAGAAATAAAATATATAACCATTCAACAAACTTCAATGTCATCCTTTTTTCCATTCAAGAATTGAGACTTTTTTTCATTAAAACCATTACATTTTTTCAACACATATACATGTCTATATTGTACAATATTTGACAGAACATAAAAATATTGGAGACTTAACTGGTGACTGAACCCTCCATTCCACATCTAGCCCATGTTGTTTCCAATTTTAATGAAAATTTGTACTGTTATGATAGGAAGAAGCCACTTTTGTTGACCAATTTGTTTTACAATGAGACCCATTTGTTTGAAAAAAGGGTCAAAAATCCGTTCTTCTGTTAAAATAATGGGAAACAAACGGGTCCCTAATAAATTGAACGAACTTGGAATAGAATATCAAAGAATCAAGTTACAGAAGGGGAAAACAAAAGCAAAGTTGATTAAAATTTTCTCAGAAAAACTTGAAAGCATTTTCCCTTTGGCGTCCCGCCTTTGAGGGAATTGCAGTTCTAATTTGTCGAAATAAATATCTACTCAATGCTTCAGAAATGGCTGATTCCTATCACTTGTCAACTGATAGAAAAATGGTTAAATTCATCAATGTCACCCAATATATACTTAGTGTCATTACGGTCACTCAATTTGATTTTGTTTCACCATGACTACTCAACTTTATATTTAGTGTCACCATAACCACTTAATTTGATTTTATTTCATCGTGACATCTAATTTCATATAATGTTTCACCAGGCCACCCAAGATTTTGTGAGTTCCAATCCACCAATGAATTAATGTGCCAACTCATCGGTGCTTAGGATAAGATGAGCAC